AGATTACCAAATATTTTTTTATGTTTCTGTAATGGTTAATCCACCAGTATGTGTAAGCTCTTTAGACACAGTAGTTAGGATTTAATGGGTCGTAAATGATAATGAGCTACTGCTCACCCCGCCCCTCTCTTCCGTTTTGTGTGTATTCGGTGGTGTGTTACCATCAAAAATAAAACTAATCCACTGCGTCCTCAGTGGCTCTGATGTCGGGAGAAAATGAAGACTCTTATGTTCACATCCAACTACAAAACACCTGGACTCATATTCATGAAAATTCTCAGAGCAAAGAGTTGTCCTAGTGACAAAATTCAAAGAAAATTCGTAGAAAAGTGGGCGTTTCCCCTTAAAATGAAAGAGAAGATCCTAGTAAAGATAAAAGTGATTCACAAAGCATCTTAACCCTTAAAAGAGCTCTTAAGGTCCAAAAGTGTTAGGAGTAGAGAGGAGGACTTTTAAGAGGCTTAAGAGTTTCTTTAGCAGAGGAGAAAATAGCCGAAAGACGGAGAGGGAGAAGAAATGTGTTGCTTAATTAGACACTAGATTAGATCGTACAACAGGCATCATGTTTGTGACCGGTCTTATTAGAGACACAACAACATCTAATATATATATATATATATATATATATATATATATATATATAGCTATATAACATTAGATCGTGCAGTGATCATGTTTGTGACCGATATTATTAGAGACACGCTAACATCTCAGACACAGTTTAAAAATGCCATAGCGCCAGAAAGTAATCACTACATTAATTATGGCCACGTTCACACGGTCAGTTTTTTTAGGGATTGACAACCGCATTTCCTTAGTCTCGAAATGTCCCGTTCAAACAGCAGCTTACATTAGCGTCTCGAATACTGTCTGTATGAACGTGCAACGACAGTCAAGCCCATATATGCACTCGCATCCTTTTCTGCGTCTCGCGCATGACACTGCATTTGAGTCACGCACGTACTGTGACGCACAGAACAAAACTGACGGAAACTACTCCGGTGGAGAACAGTGACTGGATCTAAAAACCTTCAGATGACACACGGCTCATTTCTCCGTCGCTGTGCCCAAAGTGAATCCACACATGAGCGGCTCTCTCGCACTAGTTGTCCAGTTCATACAGCGCGTGCTTTCTGAGAATGCGGTTGCGAGTCCTGAAAATGTGAGTTCGGTTATAGAATGCCTGTAATTTCAAAGTGAAGGCTTATAATAAACACTAAAGCACTCTCTCTTTTTCCCTTTGAAAAACCAGCCAATCACAGTCTTCAAAAGACTGTGTCAGATGTAGCAACGGGGTCGGCCCCGCCTCCTCACTAAGATGAAAGTTTTTGTCTTTTCCTCGCTCAGAGTTGCTCTCAGATTGGTCCTGAATCCCTCTTAAAGCTGCAGTATGTAAGTTTTGCCTCTTTGTCATCATCTCTGTTTGAAAACATAGAATTGCAGCTGTGTGCAGAATTATCTAGCTTGCGTGGGTTGTGCGGCGGCACGGCTGCTGCGTGGATGAATCTAATGTTCTGTATGTGTGGCAGTCAGTCACCGCACCGGTGTGGATATTTACTGTACTTCACAATCACAGATTCTAGCCTACATCTTGGAATATATGACCCAAATAAGAATTTTCGCCGTATATTGCCATCTGAACAAGTAACAAGTCTGCCACGTTTGTTCTGACCAACTGAGGAAAAAAAGCATTACCATAAATCTCGCTACCAATGGTGATTAAATCTAAAGATCGGTTAGCTCATATCACATCAAACCGTGCAAATTATTATTATTGTTATGCTTTATTCTCAAATTATTAATGTTAACAACATCAGCATTGCGTGACTATGTGTGTATTAGCATGTAGATTTCTGCTGTGAGAAAAGGCTATAAACGATCAGCCACCTGCAGGATCCTCACATGCGATAGCCTAGTAGCTGGGACAACTTCTTTATGTTTACAGACATGACGTAATGATGCAGCGGCATGCTCGAATTTCCCGCGAAAACCTACAGGTGCAGGTGACCTGCAGGTGGCTGATCGTTTATAGCCTTTTCTCACAGCAGCCATTACGTCATGTCTGTAAACATAAAGAAGTTGTCCCAGCTACTAGGCTGTCGCATATGAGGATCCTGCAGGTGGCCTATCGTTTAATGCCTTTTCTCACTGCAGTTGGAATAATTAAATGCATCATTTTGATGGCAGATTGTAATCCAGAAAGGATTATGTGTTTATGAAACACATGTGAATAAAATAAAATTATATTCCAGTGAGTGATACCACTCGAATTAGAAAACATTATTATAAGCTAAACGTTGTGAATCGGGCTAAAGTAAGGCGATAGTTTCGAACACTGGCTGGTTATGTACTTGCTCAAATATTGATTTCGGATCATTTTTAACCAAAAAAAAGTTACGGACTGCAGCTTTAAGCTAAGATTCCTAGTTAGATTTTTTTTAAGCTAAATTAGGAGCTTTCTGAGAGGATTCTTAGAAGCTTTAAGAATACAGGCCCTGGCATTGCTTATGAGACATTGCTGTCGCTACAGCTGCGTGAGCGTGGAGAAAATAGCGGACAGCTGGCTGAGGGTGGAAAAATGCTAATACTGGAGTCCGTCAGCGGCCGTGGGCGGGGCCTGCGCAGTATGACGTCATAATGCTCAGAAAATCAAAACGGCTTGATAATTGAGACTGTTTAGGTTTTTTGGGGATTTAAAAAAAAAAGGAGTGAATGGATTCTTATCATTGTAGGGTGGTTGTGTCCAAACACTGCTAAGACACATTTATATGCAAATTTTGCATCCGATGTCCCCTTTAACTGATGGACTGGAGTGGTGTGAATTACTTGTGGATTATTGTGATGTTTTTATCAGCTGTTTGGACTCTCATTCTGATTCACTGCAGAGGATCCATTGGAGAGCAAGCGATTAAATTATACAAATGTCTAAATCTGTTCCCGTGAAGAAACAAACTCATCTACATCTTAAGTAGCCTGAGGCTGAGTACATTGTCAGCAAATTTTTGGTGAACTATTCCTTTAATCCAGTTGGGCCAAGCAAAACTGGTGTGGTGCTCTAGTGGGTTAGACCCCATATATAGTGAATGGTTTGCCACTATAATTATACTACAAAATAAATGAGTAACATTTTACTTGAAGCCTTTATGTACAGTATAATGCATTATATCTTCTCATAAAGTCAAAATGAATTATAATATCTGCAGATTCCTTGTTACATCTGGTTGTTTGTCATGTGTTTGAATGCGTTATACTTTCTAAAGGTGTAACAATGAATAGATCAGTATTATGATGCATTATACCTGTGGTTACAATTATTCATGGGATCATACAATGCATTATAAGGTGCATTACAATGCTCAATTAATGCATTAAAAATATGTTTATAATACATTATATAAAAAGGCTTCAAGTAAAGTGTTACCAAGAAATGCTCCGGGCTCAAAAGTACCCATGGCTGCATTAGCAGGGCATATCATGTGAAAGTTACCATGTGCACATATAGATAAAAACACTGCCAACCGTATGTGCGTACTAAAGTTTTTATGCTTGAATGGACCGTCTTGTCAATCTACTAAATTGTATGTCATCACAACACGCTCAATCCATTAGCCACGCATGACCAATGACACCAGATGCGGAGAGACAGTGTCGGATCGTTTCAGTGTGGACGCCATCGATTTTCTGGGACTCAAACTGAATGTCATGATGTGTAGTGCATGTACAGTAAAACCCGTCCCTGTCACATACTTCACTGCTCCATGCGACTTTAAAACAATGGAAAACGCCCTCTGCATCAATAAACTTCTGATGAGTAAGTGTTTGCTCGGGATAGACTATTGATCGAGTCTGTCTGCATTAGGTTTGGATCTTGTCAAGCAGGCACACTCTCTCGTCCCCGTGTCTTACGAGTCTTATTAAAGTATTAGACGCATCCTATCAGTGGGTACGGTCTCGTTTCAATATGGTTTGACTGATGAATGTAGATTAGGAATAGAAGTGTCAAGCCTATTATATTAATGCAATTACTACAGAATAAAGAACTTAAGTCATGTTTACATCCCCAGTGCTCTCTTAAAACCCAAACACTCATGTACCAAACAATTACCTTGTTTTATACACTCTCAGAAAAAAAAGTACAAAATCTGTCAATGGGGCGGTACTCTTTCAAAAGGTACTAATATATGTACCATTTAGGTACTAATATGCACCTTTAAGGTACTAATATGCATAACTTAGGAGTAGATAATAGTGTGGAGTTACTATTTGCACTTGAATGCAGAACAAAATAGTGTTATTTTAGTAAAATTTATTTACTTGCCGATGGCTGCGGCCACGTCTGTTCTTATTGCCAAACCAAGTTCTGCGCGCGCTGCGGAGGACGCGTCTCCCTCCGCTCCAACAAAGTATGTCTGACTTCTCTCTCTCACCATAGAGTCTGTAGATTATACAAAGACCTCATTTATGTGGCCCTGCGTCTGTATGCTGTATTTCTATATCTTTCATGTTGTATCTGGATTTGGCAGCTTTTGATCACACAGTAAGTGCACCATTTAATCGCGTGACCACAAGAGGGTGCTGAAATGTAACAAGAAAATAAAGCCCCAAAATATTCCAATATCTGAGTGTCTCCCTAACTGCTGCTGTTGTCTGCCTCCACAGCACTTGATCTCATGTATAAACAAACTATATGACAGAACATATATACAGAGCTGGGTGGATTACTTACAAATTGTAATCCGTTACTGATTCCAAATTACATGACGAAACTTGTAGTTAGTAACGTAATCCAATACATTATACATTTTAGGCAATATAGTCGGACTACTTTTCGATTACTTTTGATTTAAATTGTTTAAATAGGATAATATTGTACCATATTGATATAAATGATTCCAAAAATAGTGTCTGTTTTGCTCTTGCTAGTCACACTTTCTTACAAAATATGATGTACATTTTGTAGAATTATTGTTTTTGATGATTCGTAAGGTGAAGATTGTTTATCCCTTAATCAGCAGAAAAAACCTGCTACAAACACACGATTCCTGTCTTTCTCTGAGCCAGAGTACAATTATTTGTTCAGTTCTCAGCCTTCACATGTATGAATGATTCTAAAGACATTCATTTATGCCTTACCCTGATTTCACTGTTAGAATTATGGCCACTGACAGAAGAAAATACAAACATGAGCCAGATGTTTTCTGCTCCATCTGCTAGGCAACAGAAAATTAAAGATTTTGTAGTTATTTGACATTAAATGGAGTATTTGAACATATTTTTCCATTCCTTTGCAGATTATAACTTAAATGATATATTTTGAATATACTTACTTATATATACTTATTTTTGGCATTAAATCCAAAACCTTTGACTGCTTTTGTTATTTTGATAAATGGATTAAAGCTGATACACACACACACACACACACACACACACACACACACACACACACACACA